TTAAAGTGTGCCCCCCGACCACAATTGCATGTGCACACATCCGACCGCAACTGCATGTGCACTCATCCGACCGCAACTGACCATTGTTTTTTTGAAGGGCAGCGAGAGAGGGGAGGGTAGTTGCATGTCTAACACTAGGCACACAATTGCAAGCGTCGCCCCCAACTGCAATTGCATGTGCCACCACCCGACTGCAACTGGCATTTGTTTTGCTGGAGGGCGACGGAGGCAGAGGGGGAGTTGCATGTTTGACACTAGGCATGCGACTGCAAGTGGCATCCTTGACTGCAATTGCAGGGCCACCCTCCCGACTGCAACTGACCTTTTGTTATGTCGGAGGATGGGAAGGGGTAGTTGCATGTCTGACACTAGGCACACAACTGCAGTGTCACCACCTACTGCAAGTGCATGTCTAGTTATGTGACTGCAACTCATCTTTGTTTTGTCGAAAGGCGGTAGGAGAGGGGGGCAACTGCATGTCTTTTTTTTACCAAGAGTGTGGAGGGACCATTTTCATTGTTGTTTTTATTATGTTACATAAAAAAGTTATAGTGTCTTCTTTTTTTCATTTTTTTGTTACTTAAATCAGTTATAAAGTCCCACTTATTTTTGTGTGTGTGTCTAAACTGTCGATGAAACTAACGAAGTAGCCAAAGTTTTTCCATTTATTTTTGTTGTCCAGTCCCCTTGTTTATATCTGATAGTTAGAAATATAGTTTTTGTTAGATTTTTTTTTATCTGCTGGACAGTATATTTTCAAACTCTATAAGAATTCATTTTTTTTGTATATTTTGAACTGTGTAAAAACAGGCTGACAGAGGTTTTAATTGATGTGGCAAGTCATTTTTCGTCTTGCAAATTTGTTCAGACATCGTAAGTAGTAGCTGCTGGGCATTTGTTCCGATTATATATTTTTGTTCAGATTTTGATTTTTGAAATGCGGATCTCTCCAGTGTCAGAGTGGTGTCGCTAGCAAATTGTGTGCCAGGGCATGATATCCTGAATTACTATCAGTTATAATCAATAGTAGTAATTGTTTTTGTCAAAAATCTTAGCAGTTGTTTTATTTTTTATTTTTTATTTTATAAACACTGGTTTATAGCTGCTGGGATTTCTTTTTTCATAATCACACAAATTTTACAAAGCTACGGAAATTTTCCAGCAAACCAGCACGTATATGCATAGTTGATGCTTTTTCTTATTTTTTTTCCCCAAGCGTACCAAACAAGCACACAGACACATACAGCGAGTTGAGTGCTTCTTAGTACAAAGATCAAGCACTTAAACACATATCGCCAGGGCCTATTCTTTTTCTGTTGAGTACCTTTTTTGCTGTGTCAAAAGAAAACAAATAAACAGTCTGCCCAAATACACAAACACAGTAAAGAGCCCGGCCCAAAATAAAAAACAAACAAACAGAAAAAGAAAGCCCAGAACCTAAGCCGAATATAGTCCAGCAGATGACAAGCTAAGAAACGGGCCTAATCTCTCTTAGATGACATCAGCCGACTGAGACTTCGCGAAGTCTCAGTCGATTGAGTCTTAGACAATCCCTATTTTAATTGTTAGCATTTGTTAAAATTTTAGTCACATACCATATGAGGGGCAAAAAAGTCTTTTTAGGTGTCATTAAACACCGTTAAGGCCCAAAATGGATGAAGGTGTCATAAAAGGCATAAATTTTGGACTCAGTGTTACATAGGAAAGAAATAATTTTTGATGTCAAATAGGAAAACAAAATTAAACAGTGTCAAATAAGAAATTCTCTCTTTTCATTTTCCAAAGGATCAAGCAAGGCGTGTACACTGTAGATCAAACAAGTTCGGTGAGGGGATGCCTCCAAAGGGATATGTCAGTTACTCCCTCCGTCCGGAAATACTTGTCGGATAAATGGATGTATCTGAACTTATTTTAGTTCTAGATACATCCATTTTTAGCCATTTCTGCGACACGTAATTTCAGACGGAGGGAGTAAATGTTAAGGGTAAAGGGATGCGTCCATAGGACATGACTGTTTGGGTTTGGACATCGCTTCAGTAATGATGGTTCATTAATTAGCATATGGTAATTAACTATTGACATATGTTAACTTATTTCTAACAGACAGGAGGATGTCGTCTTTCCTTTCCTGTGGCGCAGAATTAATTCGCGTCCATGGCGGCATTGCACGCCAAAGTGAGCACTGGCCCTCCAGTTGCTTTGAGTAGGCAAGGGCAGCTCATCTAACCCCATCCACAATTGCTAACCAACAATAGTTGTTTCTGATTCGTTCGATAACGGCCCTGCCGATAGTGATAGGTTTGCAAAAGAAAGTGTTGCGTTCGGTGCGTCAAAACATTTTTACTTCATCCAGATCGGTAGTAGAACAACTTGCAACTACTACCAGAAGGAAATGAATGCCTTCAAGAAAATTTCAAGATCGGTAGAAGAAGAAGAACTTGCAACTACCACCGGACGTAATTGAATGCCTTCAAGAAAAGTCCGCCCGAATAGTATCCTTGACCCGCCGTGCATCAGCCAGGTCGTCTGCCACTGCCACCCTTATATAAGATCAGCACCACCTACACTGGCTCTCCCACGCAGCAGCATTGAATTGTGCGTAGATCCAGGAACCACCTAGCAGTCAAGGAGCTAGCACAGGTAGCTAGGACAGGATGGTGAACCTGGTGGAGGCGCAGAAGCCGCTGCTGCACTTCCTAATCAAGTGGGCCGGCCTCCGGCAGCACACCGTCGACGTCGACGGCGCCGGCACCGTGCTCACCTTCTGGGTGCCCAAGGACAAGGTGCCCGGGAACAACTCCACCGTCGCCCCCGCAGAGAAGCAGAGCGAGACGTCCAAAGCCAAAGGAGTGCGCCGGCCATCCGTGGTGCTCGTGCACGGCTTCGCGGCCGAAGGCATCGTCACCTGGCAGTTCCAGGTTTGCACTTTGCACTTTGTTATTACACTAAGTACATTCCGTCGTTATGGTTGATCAATCCATTCATGCTGTCCAGGTTGGTGCGCTGGCGAAGCACTACGACGTGTACATCCCGGACCTGCTCTACTTCGGCGGCTCCACGTCGCCGTCGACGGACAGGTCGCCGGCGTTCCAGGCGGAGTGCCTGGCCGCGGCGCTCGGGAAGCTGGGCGTGGACGAGTGCACGGTGGTGGGGTTCAGCTACGGCGGGATGGTGGCCTTCAAGATGGCCGAGTCGCGGCCGGACCTCGTCCGCTCGCTGGTCGTGTCGGGCTCCGTCGTCGCCATGACCGACTCCATCAGCGACACCACGCTCGAGCGGATCGGCGTCCGGTCGTCGGCGGAGCTGCTGCTGCCGGAGTCCGTCAAGGGGCTCAAGGCGCTGCTCTCCATCGCCGCCCACCGTAGGCTCTGGTTCCCGGAGCGCCTTCACAGGGACTTCCTGGAGGTGATGTTCACCAACCGCAAGGAAAGGGCGGAGCTGCTGGAAGGTCTGGTGGTCAGCAACAAAGACGCCACCGTCCCCGTTTTGCCCCAGAAAATACTTCTACTCTGGGGACACAACGACAACATCTTCAACATCGAGCTCGCAAAGACGATGAAAGAGTAAGCTCCAGAGATTTCAGACGTAAGCATAAGCTCAAGCTAGCTATCGTATGAGCTAAGATATTAACAAATGGTTTTTGATGGGGTATACACAGGCAGCTCGGGGAGAAGACGATGCTGCAGAGCATAGACAAGGCCGGGCATCTCGTGCACCTGGAGAGGCCCTGCGTTTACAACCAGCACCTCATGGAGTTCTTGGCATACGCCACTGCTGAAGCTTCCAAGGAGTCTGCAAATTAATTAGTAGATCGATCCATCATTCTGGAGAGTGCTTAATTAATTTGTTCACAGAGAATTGAGGTCCCATTTGTTGCAGTTTGATTGATTGTTTGCCCGTACAAGATAGTATGAGTGTACGTGATGCATAATACCATGGAGGGCAGCACCTCGCAATTTGTCTAGTACTTCTTTTTTGCATCTCACCATTTTCATAAGTACATTCACTTGAAATGCTTCAAAATGGACAGTGGAATGAGGTTACAAGAGCATCTCTAACCCTTCCCTTTAAAATTTTTAACTTCTCAAAAGATTATCCTTTGAGAATTTAATCCATATAATCTTGCTTTGAGTACCAACCATTTCTCCAAAACTTTTAATGGACTAATGACACATTTTCACTCTTGCTTTTCTTTTGTCCTCCTAAATATGTTAGTACTGAGAAAGCAGCCCCTCCCCCTCCCCTCTCCCTCTCGCGTCGCCCCACGCGCGACTGAGAGGGAGCCCTAGCCGCTGTCGGGCCTCCCTCCCTACTCTCCTCCTCCCGCGCCGCCGCTCAAGGGTGCGGCCGGGCGAAGCCCGGTCGTCACCACCGGTGTCGGGTTTCTTTCATCTCCCGTGCACCCGCTTCAGCGCGGGATGTGGAGGCCGGCGGCGCTTGGCGGCGGGCGCGGGGGTGCATCGGCGCCAAGGTGCGGCGGCGGTGTGGGCTGGCAGCGTGACAGGCAGCGCGGTGGTGGTGCGCGCGTGCAGGTCAGGGATGGCATGGCGGCGGCGCTCAGATCTAGTCTGCACACGGTGCGGGGCGTGGTCGCCCTTGGCTGCGGGCGGCTGCCATCTGCTGTGGCGGTCTGCTGGTGGGGCGTGGCGGCACTGCAGTCTTGGTGCGACAGGCCAACGGGTGGTGATGGCGCGACGCTCCTCCTCCTCTCCCTTTCCTCCTGTTCGTCAGGGAGCTTGGTTGGAGGGATGGGTGGCCTCGATGCGATCGCGTCACCTGTCGCCGGCCCGGATTCGTCCGCTCCCCTTTCTCCCCCGTTCCTTGACCGCGGGTGGGTTAGCGCAGATCAACTAGTGGAGCGTCTGCAGGTGGATCTGTCGGTCGAGGGCCGTAGGTTGGTCCAAAGTCGGGGCCTTTGTGTAGGTCTCGAGGTTGTCTGGTTGCAGGGCGGCGGCTCTGGCGGCGGGAGGCACGGCGTTTGTGGGCGGAGCGTGCATCTTAGGTGTGGGCGAGCAACCATGGCCTCACGGGTGGCGTGGTTGCGGGTGGTTGACGGAGTTAGGGTGCGATGGTGGGGTGTGAGCTCTGGGGGTACACCACTTGCCTAGTACTTTGACTGGCCAACGGTGGCGGCGGCCGTTGACGTCGTACCCTTCCTAAAGGATCCGTCGCGGCGCTTCCACTCACGTTGTCTTGCTCTGGTTGAAAACTTGATCTTCATGGATCGGGCGGTAGCGGCTATCCTTGATCGTACCCTTCTTGGAGGCATCGCTTTGGAGGGCCGGCTTCATTGTTGTCTGGTTCACCTCTCTATTGTTGCCGGTGGGGTGGTGTGTCGGTGTCCGGCATATTTGTATCTTGGGTGTGTGCGTTGTTCGGTCTCTTGAATGTATTCGATGATGGTTGCTTTACAATATAAAGCGGGGAAACCCTTTTTCGGTAATATGTTAGTACTAATAATGGCCTAAGTAGTCATTCTCAGACTGATTGCTTGCTTTGGGCAACCAACTAGAGATTTGATCAATCTAAAACATAAACTTGTTTGTTTGATCAAATA